TCAGCACAGCCGTGATGTCGAGAAACGCACATCAGGCTCACTGCGGAGATGGTTTTGTAAATTTGGATTTACTCTGAGACAAAGAAAGTTTGTTAGGTTCACCAGGAAGTTTCAGCCAGGGCTGCTTCTTGGCCAGATACAAGCAGCCAAATAAAGGTGGCATTATCTGCCCTGCCCTTGCTCAGCGTGAGGTATCTGTTAACCTGGTTGACAAGGGCTGGAGGGCTCGTCCTTTCTGCAGGTAGCGATGGGAACATCTCACACAGCTTTGGCAGCGGCTTCCCATTCATGTGTCTGGCTTCTTGCAGAATACGCCAGTGGGAATCTTGGCTGGGCCAGGCTTTCAGCCTGAGTTTCTAGAGCATCAGTGTTTGGCGTGTTTTTCATTCGTTCGTTTGGGACTTTGGCCTGAGCCTGTGTTAGGCATTTTTACCATAGTAAGCAGCGATCCAAGTGCTTACCTGGGAATTTGTCATACACGTACCTCGCGGACAGCGAATGTGGAGTAGATATGTGTTCAGGGCTTTGTACCCACTTTCTGAGGGAAGGGAAAGAGAAAGGCATAGAGGACGAGGGACCTCCGTGTCAGCTCATCACACATCTGCAACAAGGGCTTCTGCTTAGGGAATTGCCTACCCTCGCTTGTCTGACTAAACGCTTCTCCCTCACGTGGCTGGTCCTTGACATGGTCGCATGCGGGGTAAAGGACCTCCCTCGGGGAAACCCAGGTGTGTGCCTGAGCGTACCCCACATGAGCTGTGTGGTTTCTTGGCCATGCAGTGGAGGGGCCGTCCCAGGAGGCCCTCAGAGCGTGGCCAGGCCCATGCTGTAGCTTCCTAGCAAGGCCTGTGGCCAGCCCCTTGTGGGACTTTTTCATATATAAAAAAGTAAGTTTTCTTCGAGAACCACCAGGCATTACACATGTAGGAAAGATAACGTTACTGTCCTTGCATGACAGGCGTGTGAAGTAGCAATGCCACCCCTTCCTTGGTCACCCCATCCCTGCCATGTTATTTTAGCGCACCTTGCCAGTTATCTCAAATAATTGCCTAAGGAATCGAAATACATTCAAAGAGGACTTAAAAAAGGAATTCACTTAAATTCCGTACGTATTTCCCCCTTGGAGAGAGTAGAAGGGGCCTCAGGCTGCCCAAGGGACTCTAGAAGAGAGAACTGGTTAGGAGTTAGCTTGGGTGAAGGCTGGTAGACAGCGTTATCTAATGTCGGGTAGTTCAGGACCGAGGTGCCTTACTCCCAAGCCTCCTGGATCAGCAGCTGTTCCCAGGTGTGTGATTGACCCGTGATGCGCTTTCTCCTCTCCAAGGCCTCCAGGCTGCCCCGCTCCGCTAGCTGGGGGCGCCCCCCTCGACCCTCCTCCGGTGCAGGAGTCCCCACACCCCCCCCTGCCTGCCGCTGAGCCAGCTTCTCGGTTATCCAGTGAGGAGGGCGAAGCTGACGACAGAGACGAGTCTGTTGAGAAATTGGGCTGTCATTACTCAGGCCGTCACCCTCAGCCAGCGTCTGTAAGTTCTGCGTGCGCCCGCACGTCCAGCCTCCCCATGCAGCACGTACAGGGTATCGCGGGGGGCCCCCAGGGACCTTGGCACGCCTGTCGGGGGGGCGCACAACATGGACGGCACCACAGGGGGGCCCCAGGGACCTTGGCACGCCTGTCGTGGGGGGCGCACAACATGGACGGCACCACAGGGGGGCCCAGGGACCTTGGCACGCCCGTCGTGGGGGTGCACAGCATGGACAGGGCATCGCGGGGGGCCCTCAGGGACCTTGGCACGCCTGTCGTGGGGGGCACAGTCCAGGTGTGAGAACAGCTCAGGGCAGGGCGCCCTCTGTCTGGGGGGCCGTCTTCGTGCTTTTCCCTTCCTCCTCCTCAACGCTTGGGGCCAGGCATGGTCACTGTCGTGCTTCACAGCTCACCTTACGGAGTGAGCGCCGTCTCCCGTGGTTAGCGAGCCCTCAGGCGTGCCGTCGCCAGTGGTAAGCGTGCGCTTGTGTGCTCTCTCCCAGTTCTGCACATTTGGGAGCCGGCAGATCGGGAGGGGCTGCTACGTGTTCGACTCCCGGTGGAACCGGCTGCGCTGTGCCCTCAGCCTCCTGGTGGAGAAGCACCTGAACGCCCAGCTGTGGAGGTGAGCGCGCCCCCCTGTGGTGGGAGGGACCCCACCTCAACCTTTCTTTCCTGTGGGGATGATTTACCAGAAATTGCTTATCTGAAATGAAAATAGTCAGCCGTTCACTCATTCACAAACATGCATTGTTCTGGGGGTTGGGGTTCAAGGCAGGAGGGCTCCCACGTGTACGGAGCTCACGTTCTAGTTGGGGGAGAGAGACAGAAACCCATAAACAGACACATAAAGCACCGTAACGTCATAATGGAAACCCTGGAAAACAGTAGTGATAGCTAACACTGAGAGCTTACTGTGTGCCAGGCAACTCTTAACTCTATTTAATGTTCACGGTTCTCTGAGTCAGGTCGCCGTGATTATGCCTGTTGCATAGATAATAAACCGAAGTGCGTGTTCGCGCAGTGAGTGAGTGGTGAGTCCAGGGGACGGTAAGGGCAGGCCCCTGAGAGGCGGCCCTGGAAGTGAGGGGGACGGATGAGGAATGCGGAGGAGTGGGTCCAGACAGAAGGAACCACGTGTGCAATGGACTGCAGTCAGACAGGAACGCGGCTTGTTTGAAAAACAGCAAGAAAGCAAGCATGGTGTGATGTGAGGTCTGAGGGCCCGCCGGGCCTGGCCATCTTCGTACTGGTTCTGAGCGAAGTGGGGAGCTGTTGGTGGGTCTCTAGGTAGAGAAGACTTGTGGCCTGATTTACGGTTTAAGATGAGACGGTCTCTTGTATGCTAAAACCAAAAACCAAACCAAACCCGTTGCTGTCGAGTCAATTCTGACTCATAGTGACCCTATAGGACAGAGTAGAACTGCCCCATAGGGTTTCCAAGGAGCGCCTGGTTGATTCCAACTGCAGACCTTTTGGTTAGCAGCTGAGTTCTTAATCACTGTGCCACCAGGGCTTCCCCAAATGGGATTTTAACTGGAAAAAGGGTTCCATGGCAAAAAAAAAAAGCCTAACCCGGCCTTTCCTTAAGTAAAGAGCTTTCTTTACTGTAGGACTCCTCAGCCTTTAGTGGGCAGTGTCCACTGTAACTCTGAAAGCAGGGCATAATCATGTATAATGTGGAGCATCCCCCAGGTTCTTCTGACCTGGGAAACTTTTTCAGAGGAGTGTGGCAGGGTGCCAGTGTTTGGTGGAACCTCCTTTGGGAAATGTTGAGCTTTGCTAGAGGGAGTTTTCCATAGCCACATGTCCTCCCTGGTCCTCCGTGGGGCAGCGTTTAGTAGTGCCTTTTTGAATGGACTCTTGGCCAGTATATCCGCTTGTCTCTCTGCCTTGGTTCCCTAATAAAGACAGAGCAGCCTGGTCAGGGGCTTGTCTAGTCTGCAAGGCAAAGAATCCTCTCCATATCACTGATAGGACTTAGATCTGTTCACTTAGAAAGCCAGATCCAGAGCACTGTTAGTCTGTCCTTCTGTTGCCCATTTCCTCCTGGTTCTTACTGGTTGGACGCTTTTCTGCTGGAGACCTTGAGGAAGGGACGTGGTTCCTCCCCAGAGGTAGAATCAGGGGAGTGGTTCATGGGGGTTCTGAGGGTGTCTCCACATCAAAACACCCTGAGATACGTGAGATCTCAGCTGCTTGTTGAGGCAGACTGCCCGGTGGGACTCAGAGAGCTCGGTGCCTGTGGGTTTAGTGCACTTGTGTTACGAGGGGTCCTCAGAACGTTTCACCCCATTATCTTGCTAAGTGGCTTGTGGCCAGCAGCCTGTTTGGATGAAGACAGTCTTGGTTCCTGGCCAAGCAGCTCATGTAGACAGGCTTTCCTGCTTGTGCTGTGGATGTTTGAAAAGCAGGATCATGAAGTTGACCCCGCTGCTGTGCTTTCCTCAGTCAGAAGGCTGACTGCCTTACGTTTGCTTCACGGAAGGAAACCATTCTAGTAACATGACCTTTGGTTTTTAAAAAGTCCATACAGCAGGAGCAGACTTGTTGCTCAGTGACGAGCTGGCACACTGGCCTGGGACGGACTGAAGGCCCGGAGACAGGTGCCAGGTGTGAGGAAAGCCTCCCCACAAGAGCTGTGGGCTGAGTCACAGAGCCTTCTTGGGCAGCTCTGAGCTGGATGGAGGTGGCCCAGTGCTTCTCACCCAGCGAGGCCCTCGAGGACACTCTCACAGGGGTCTAGGCGGCATCTGCTGGCTCAGCCAGAGACCCTCCCTTCCAGGAAGAGCCCTGGTTTCCCAGCATCCTACCCTGTCTTTGCCCATTGTTCATTTGGGGTTAAGTGAAGGTGGGATTAAAGTATGAAATAAATCATCTCAGTATGTGGAGCCTCAACAGTGGTGAAATCAGACCAGCAGTTCCTCTGAAGGAGGCTGTTTCTGATCCCTGATGACTTCTGTCAACTGCTTGCCTCTCATGATTCAGGACCACCCTTTCCAATCCCCAAGGGAGGGGCTTGGGTGATTCTCAGAGGGTTTGTTGGTGTGGTGGTTGGTAATTTAACGTTTTGAATACGTAGTACATGCACTTGGCTGAAAAGAAGGAGTGGAATATAAAGAGGGCGCAATGAAAGGCTTGGTTGCCCTCCCCCACACTCCTAGAACTGTTGTTATTAATTTCTTGTACACGTTTGCAGAGTCTATTTGTGCAAACACAATTTAGTATGATTCTGTATTCTTACATACAGAAGGTAGGAAATTACTTAAAAGAGCTTTTGTATGAGGAACCAGTCATTGTTACCCCAAGAGATCCTCGTCTCCCCCGTGAAAACCTCCCAGGATTCGGTTCCGGCAGCCTGGTGTTTACGCCCTGGCTTCCTGTGCCACCTGGTGGCCACGAGATGCCACTGCACTCAGCGGGCGCCAGGGCCTGTGCTGCCTTTACAGGGTGCTCCTCCACGGTCCCCGCCAGGAGCACCTGGGGGTCTGGTGAGGTGCGGTCTGATGAAGTAGGTCGGGGCACAGCCACAGGACTCCACATTTCTAGTAAGCCTCTCAGTAGCCTCTCAGTAGAGAATAGGGCCAGGTTCTTGGGGGCAGTGCAGACCCCTCAGATCTGGAGTGGTGGGTCTGGGCTGTGGTTGAGCCCCACAGGTGACTGTAGTACGCAGCCAAGCTGCACGTGTGAGGGGGCTTTAAAGCAGGGGCAAGCGTGGGTTGTAAGTCACGTTTTAGTACCTCGCTGGGTCGTTATGAGTCGAAATCAACTTGACGGCAGCGGGTTTTTTTTTTTTTATTTTTATTTTTTTTTGTACTTCAGGTGAAGGCTTACAGAACAAATAGTTTCTCATGAAACAGTAGTACACATATTGTTTTATGACATAGGTTAACAACCCCACAATATGTCAACCCTCTCCCTTCTTGACTTTTTTTTTTGGTGAAAATATACATAGGCAAAGATACACCATTTCAAAAATTTCTACATGCACAGTTCAGTGACATTGACTACGCCCTTCCAATTGTGCTGCTATTCTCACTTTAGATGAAGGCTTACAGAACAAAATAGTTTCTCATTTAACAGTTAGTACACATGTTGCCTTATGACAATGGTTAACAACCTCACAACACATCAACAATATCCTTACTCAATCTTGGGTTCCCTATCACCGGCTTCCTTGTCCCCTTCTGCCTTCTGGCCCTTGTCCCTGGACTACTGTACCTCGTTAGTCTCATTTGGTTTTACGGGGCTGTCCACTCCCAGGCTGAACAGTGAACCTCGGAGGTAACTTCACCACTGAGCTAAAAGGGTGTCTGGGGGCCATACTCTCGAGGCTTCTCCAGTCTCCTTTAGGCCAGTAAATCTGGTCTTTTTTGTGTGAGTTAGAATTGTGCTCTACATCCTTCTCCAGCTCTGTCCAGAGCCCTCTGTTGTGATCCTGGTCAGAGCAGTCAGTGGTGGTAGCCGGGCACCATCTAGCTGTACTGGACTCAGTCCGGTGGAGGCCTTGGTACGGCAGTGGGTTTTTAACTGTAGTTCTTCAGAAGCATCTGGAAAGCAGTTCAGCGCAGTTTAGGCCGACACCCTCACTGGAAAGATGAGATGCAGGTGGTGCAGTGACGGGGCAGCCGGAGCAACCCCGTGAGGCTGGGAGCAGCGCGTCCTGGCGCCGTTTTCTATGTGGTCACCTCAGTTTTCATTCTGCCACAGGAGATTTTAAAACTTTGGTGCTGTCATATTTAACTATCAGAGCTGCGAATGGTGGGGCAGGGCGCTGGTTTGGTTATTTGAATCGCTTCCCCACCCCCAGAGGCATACCTTGCCCATCCGGCGGTAGCAGAACACGTTACTACAGCACCAGGCCTGAAGTTTGAGGCTCCATCCCTTGTGCAGCCGTTTCGACCGCTGGTTAGGACCTAGCTGTCAGTCAGTTTCCCCATCTGTTCATGAATTCTTTTGGCACGTGCCGAGTGCCTTCTGTGTCTGGGCTCTGTGCCGGGCACTGGGGATTCTCTGTAAAGGAATCAGCGGTCAGCAGTCACACGTTACCGTCCCAAGTCGACAGAGTCTGAGAATGGGCATTGCACGCGAACTAAGCACATCGGGGTGGTCAGGCCAAATTTCCTGAGTGATGATGAGCCAACACTGGGGGACAGGAGTGTCCCAGGTGGAGGATGTACAGGGTCTTAAGTCGTGGCATTAAGTCCTCAGGTGATACCAACAGTTACATGCTTAGCTGCTAACTGAAAGGGTGGAGGTTCAGGTCCACCTAGTGGCACCTCAGAAGAAAGGCCTGGCGATCTACTTCTGAAAAATCAGCCATAAAAATCCTGTGGAGCACAGTTCTCCTCTGACACCCATGGGGTCGCCCTGAGTTGGAGCTGACTCATCAGCTGGTGGTGGGAAGCTGTGGCATCTTCTTGGACCCTAAGGAAGACCAGTGGCTGGGGTCAGAGAACCAGGGGAGGAGATGGAAAATGGGGGCGTGAGGTTGGGGCAGTGGCAGGGGATGAGGCACACAGGGCCTTACAGAGCATGAGGGGTTGTTTTTTGTTCTGAGCGCCCCACGAAGGCATTGAAGAATGTGAAGCAGAGAAGTAGCTTGCCCAGTTTGCAGTATTTCAGGATGATCCTCAGTGTTGGAGGTGAAGGGGTGTTCCTCTGGAAGTTTGTGTGAATGGCTGTGGTGAACATTACCTCCTGCCCTCTGCTTTTCCCAGGAAAATCCCACCAGCGCCCAGCATCACGTCGCCCGTCTCCACACGCGCTCCTCACCGGACGAACACTGTGCCGACAGCCCAGGGCGGGGCCAGCTCCCTTGCAGCACCCACTGTGTCTCCGTCCCCAGTCCTGCTCTCTCCCGCCTGCGTCTCTCCAAATGGCAGATCGGTCCCAGCTCACGGAACCACACTAAACGCCCAGCCTGCGGCTTCCGGAGCCGTGGATCCCGCGTGCAGCGCGCAGTCCAGACACGTGTGCCCCTCGTCCTCGTCCCCCTCCATGCCCTCCAGCCTCTCCTCGGTCCCCTCCTCTCCCATGTCCAGGAAGCCCCAGAAGTTGAAAGCCAGCAAGTCTGTCAGGCCCAGAGAGTCTCCTGGTAACAACTGTCAGGGCGCCGGTGGTGCTAACAGTGGCAGCTCAGGAAAGAAACGTAAAAGCGGTTCCCCACTGTTAGCTCACCCTTTCTCCTCCTCCGCTTCTTCTCATTCCATGGAGTCTTTGAGGAAAAACTGCGTGGCTCACTCTGGGCCTCCCTACCCCTCCACGGTGATGTCTTCCCACAGCGTCGGCCTCAGCTGCGTGACCAGTAAAACCAACGCAGTGGGCGTCCGGCACGACCCGTCAGGGAGGGGCCCCCCCAGCGGGAGCCCTGCCGAGTCCATCAAGAGGATGAGTGTCATGGTGAACAGCAGTGACTCCACACTCTCTCTCGGCCCGTTGGTGCACCAGTCCGGTGAGCTGACCGTCAGCGCCCACAGCGGCTTTGCACACTCACACACGCCGCTGGACAAACTCATAGGAAGGAAGAGAAAGTGCTCGCCTGGCACAAGCAGCGTCAGCAACAACAGTAGCAAACCCACAAAGGTGGCCAAGTTGCCGGCCGTGAACAACGTCCACGTGAAGCACGCGGGCGCCATCCCGGGGGCACAAGGCCTGACGAACAGTTCCCTCCTGCATCAGGTAGGAAGTGGGCTCTGAGCCCGCGGGGACGCGCATTGTCTCTCCCGTGGAGTCTGGCCAGCTCGGAAATGTGTGTGGTTGGGTTGGTTGGTTTGCCCAGAAGCAGACATCCAGCTTCATGATGTCTTTAAAAAAAGAGTTCATGGCCATGTGAAGGTAAAACGGGCTCCTCTCTGCCAGAATTTCTGACGACTTTGGAAGATGTTCCTGGGTAAGGAAACCATGTCATGTGTTTAGCAGATAGGGCCGCGGACAGCAACACGCAGCAGCAGAATCGGGATCTGAAGGGAGTTGTTCTCGGGAGCCAGTGAGCGAGGCGCTGTCCCCTGCTGCCGGTAGGGAAGGAAGCCGCAGTGCTTCCTGACGGGGGTCCTCGAGGGGCTTCCTCTGAGGAAAGCTGGACTACACACAGACTGGCCCAGAAAGGGGTGATCTACATGTTAAAATCTAAGAACTTTGAATGCTTTGCCCCTCAGAGAAGTTCAGAGGTTGTGGTTAAATCTTGCCCCGTATTTTCTCCTCCCTTGTTTTCAAAGGAGACAGGAAAACAGGATGAAGTGTGGGCATAACAGAAGACTAAAATCTCCTGTAAATGAGTAGATTAGACAGAAATCTGAGAGTTGGGCCCGTTAGTGGAGAAGTGGCTACGTGGATGTTGGATCAGAATTAACTGCGACCTCCTCTCTCAGGCTGTATGTCTGTGTTCTCCCGCAGCGGTTTCTTCCAGCGTCCTGTCCTCTCACGCCCACTCATCTCTCATCTTAGTTCATCCATCAGGATAGGTCACCCTGCTCAGGCACAGGAGTGTCATCAGCGTCACCCCAGAGCCCTGATTTAAAATGTCAGGCCCTTTTTTGTTTTTTCTTCCTCATACTCAGAACTTAATTCAAATACCTTGTTAAGGTTTTTTTTAAGAAAATACCAAGAAGTTTCCTACTGTGATTTAATTTGTCTCCAATATCTCTGTGAATTAATACCCATTGCCAAAAGTGTGAGGAAAATTATCTGTGAATTTAAATAGCAGCTGCTTAAAGCCTTCTGTTTGGGCTGCAAACACTCATAGGCTTTTTGTGTGTTTGCTTTTTTGATCAGAGAGTCCTGGGCAAGTGAGACCTGTCCCTTTTTACTCCTTGGCTCATAGTTATCCGTTATAGTTTATGATAAGCATAAAAATGCCAGTGCAGACACAGCAAGAAATGGTGCACCCATCCTAAAAACCTCCCTTCCGAGTGGTTCCTGACGGGCTGTGAGCCCCACAGGGGCTTCTGCTGGGTCCGAGTGTCCGTCTCACACTGTCGCCCCCAGCACACTGTGGTGTCTTCATTCACACCGCATTGCCCACGAGTAGCGCAGCAAGAGGGGCTGGTGGGGCACGGTGGGGAGTAACAGCACCCCTGGAAAATCAGGGAACATGGGCCCCACTGTGGGCTTCTCGCCCAGTTTTAAAAGAGAAACTGCAAGTCTGGCCTTTTATGTGAAATATGCCCGTGTTAACACAAAGTAGTCTTTTCTTTTTAATCTGGTATAGTCCAAACACACACCTGACGGCCAGGCTTGGCTCAGGAGCTGCCAGCTTGCCCGTCTGATTTACACCATCCTGGGGAGGGAGCCATGCCCCACGGGGAGAGCCCAGACAGCCTGACTTTGGGGTCTGTTCTTTAAAATCAGTGTCCAAGTAAGTCTGTGTTTGGGAAAGATTTCCTCTTTTTGTTATAAGAGCGGTCCCCGGGTTAGGAACCTCTGACTTAGGGACACCTCCTACTTGCCCTTTACTGTGATATAAATTTGCCCTCACTCTGAAAGGATGCAGCTTTTAAAGCATTGAAAAGGCCTCCAGCTGCTTCTTGCACTAAATGAGAACCACATTCACCTCTTCCAACTTCCTTACAAATTTGACTTAAAGCCACAGGTGGGGCAGGTCTCAGCGGTGACCCGGGACTGCCCTCACTGCACAGATCTGGGGCAGGCTCCTGGATGGTGATCTGAGGATCCATGAACCCCTGAAGAGCTATGCACGTTTTTATGTCTGTGTTCATTTCTATGCAGGGAGGAACCCTATAACTTTCACCAGAATCTCAAGGGGTCCACAGCCCCAAAATGCTTCACAGAACGCTGCTCTTACAAAACTAGGGCCCTCAGCTTGCTGCCCCTGCAGAGCCGGCTTTAAATCAGAGATGACTGGCTGGGTGAAGCCACCCAGATGAGGAGATAAAGCAGGACATGCTGGGAGTCAGTACTGGGCAGACACCCTGCTGAGCTCAAGTCACGGCCTCTGTCCCCGAGCTCTGTCCCCGAGTGGCTGGCTGGAGCGTCCTCTCCCTGGCCTGAGCTCGCCCTGCCCTGGGAGCTTCCACACCTACGGGTGCTGGCCCGTTTGGCCTTGCTCAGGCCTCAGTTGACAGCCTGGAATACCTTCAGGGACACAGTCAGTGAGTGAAACCGAAAGGCAGGCATGTGAGCCTTTTCCCAAAGCCAGAGACCGGGTCCTGCAGCCCCTGTAGCCAATTTTCTGAAAGGCAGTCTTTCCAAATGCTTGTGCCCAAGGGCGAGGAAGCCTTTTAAAGCTAAGGGAGAATCCTGTAGCTGACTGCCCCTGGGTCGCCCGCTCAGTGGTGACTTTAGTGACGTGTGGCCTTTGGAGACTTCTCATTTAGCATCGGGCAGCAGCGTGTAAACCACCTACTCACCTTCTCCCTTGTTCCCCTCCCCTCTTTTTTGAAAGCCAAAGGCACGCCCCTGACAGCTGAAAGTAGCGCGGGGAGGAGTAATCTGGACACTTTTGACGACAAGTTACACCTCCACTCGACACTCTGGACTCCACGAGGCCTTTGAGCCTGTTTCCCCAGCCTCCTGTGGGTCTCATTTCCCCGAAGCTACGTCTGTAGCAGTGAGTGCTCACAAAGGACACTGGATCCAGTTCAGCCACCGAGTTGCTTTTATCAGTGTTACAGTGGCCTGGACTGCTCGCTACCGATCTGTGACAAGTTTTCGTTTCTGTTGATTTTTTTAACTTGCAGTATATCATGGAGCCCCCTTTGAGTAGGTTGGCTGGACAAAGGACTGTGTTGGCAAGAACGTTACTGTAGTCTTCCCCCCCCACACACACACACACCCTGCCAGCTTTTTTGTTTTATTTTTTTACACGGTGTTCTGTAGGTCACTCTCCATAGTCAGGCCGCTAACCGGGGCACCCTCCAGAGGAGAGCATGGCGCTGCCCCAAGAAGCCTCTGGAGGAGGGGCCTGGGCGGTGGGTTTGTATCGCAGTGTTCCAGGAACGGGCACTGGGACAAAACAGCCTGTATTTTTGCCCAGCCTTCTTGCAAGTCATTTACGATAAGAAACTGTCAGAATTTTCTAACTTACAAGCTGGTTTGAAGCCATTGATGCCCAGAGAGCAAGTATAAACCGTTTTAGAGGCTTACTTTTCATGGTACAAAAGTGATTCTATGTGATTTTAAAAGTATATATATATAATATGTGATGCAAATGCAAGCTAGTTTTAATAAAGGAAAGCCAAATTGTAGGGGGAGGAGGAGAGGTGAAATCATTGTGGGGGAAAAACGTTTTCCAAGATTTTCCAAGAATGGAGTTTTCTCGCTTTTTACGTCTTCACGTGGAACGGTATGTCGGTTTGGGGTAGTTGTCCCTCCCAGTCTTCTGTGCTCAAAAAGTTGCCTTTTTAAAGTGAACTCATTAGGATGCAACAGAAACTGTCCTTCACAAAGTCGTTATTCACGTGAATATGTCCCAGGCGCTCTGTGCTTGCCCTCGGTCTCTTCTCTGGACACCATCCTGGAACTAAATGTAGCCTTCCACTGTAAGCCCTCCCCGGCCTTCATGCACTACAGATGTTTGTTTGGACTCGGTTGGCATGGGGAGCAGGGACAGTGGATTCAGAGAAGGCATGCACGTACCCCCATGGCGATTTCACGGGACGCCTACGTGTTCCCTGACCACCTCCTTCAGTGGGGTTATGCCAGCCATCTTCCTGAGGGGGTTTGGAGCCCCCGGGATATGTTTTCTAGTCCCTACCCCAGAAGAGAGAACCTAATACGTTCAAACATCATTGCTTGAGGAAGTGTCATTGCATTTTGGGAATGAGCCGGGGCATTTTAACTGGTGATTCTACCGCCACACCCCTCTGAACAAGAACCAGGTATCTTTGCTTGGAAGAACACACAGAGTCGCTGAAAACAGGGTAAATTTTCCAGGGCTCTGACCATCGTCCTGGCCAGGGCCCAGTCAGAGCCAAGCAGCGCATCCTTTTTTTCCTACAGTTCTTGGGTTACAGACTTCAGTTTCAGGGAATTTCAAGTCAACAACAGGTAGAATGAGTACTTGGTTAGCAACCTAATAATGTGAATTGCTACCGAATTATTATGTAAGAAAACCAAGAGAAAAACTTTATGCAGATACCTTAGCTATAAATCGATGTAAAATACCGATTTTTTTAAAAAGGAAGGGGGAACAGTACCTTGTTCACTTATTATGCAATCAGTCAGTAATGTTTTTAAATGATATTATAGGAGCGGATAGAAAGGAGAAAGCTTGGCAGGGCCAGCGGGGTGTAGTTAGGAGACATCGGCCCAGTGGTTCCATCGCAGTGAGAGAGACGGAGGGAAGGGGGAATCGGAACACACCTAGGTCATTCCGTGGTGACAAGTGCAATGGGGTCTGGGTAGAATTTATTTTCAAAGCTGAGGAGACTTGATGGTTATTAATAAAGTTGCTTTTAGGGATGGAATTTATGGACAGATTGTGTTGTCCCGAAAGATGTGACTAGGATCCATGATAGCAGGTTGATTCAGAATAATGTAGATATTTAGATTAGCGAGTGTTGGTCATTTGATTTCTTAGACTTGAGGCTTTAATTGAATTTCCGTAGGTCTCCCGGGTAGTAAGTACACAGAGCATCTCCATTAGGAAATTAGCCATTTTGGATTCTGCCTGCCACAAACAGACCTATTCTAAACAGTGCTATTAAAGTTTAGACTGTTGTTAAAATAGTTTATTTTCTCCTACAACTACTTTTTATTATGATGAACAGGTAAGACCATTTAAAACACGGGAGTACAAGGTTTTTTTTGGTTTTTTTTTAAAGTAACTTGCAAAAACCAAATTTGCAGTGGTTGGGTTGTTTCTAGACAGACTTTGGTATCAATTTAAAACCAAGATAATTTTATATTCTTTCCAGTAAAACTTGCTGACAACTCCTGCAGTTTTCTTAAAACCTACAAAAAAGGAAAGAAAACAAAATAGTGCTGCCGTGGTGAACAAAGAATTAATCAAAACCTACTTTTGTGTCTTTATTTTGGAATTTTGTGTCCTATTGTAAATATAGAAGTATCCCTATTTCAGAAGACATATTTTGTTAAAAATGAACTGTACATATTTAAATATGTATTTTTGCACAGGTCTTTTTTTCTGATATCCTGTTTTGGTACAATTGAGATCAACTAGTATTTATTTATTAATTAATAAAAGTAAATACCTTTTTATAATTTGAAGTGGTTCACTGCCAAGCCAATAGTTTTAGAACCTGCCTCCTTACAGTCCGAGGGACACCTCTGCTCTGTGAAAGTCTCTGTCCCTTCTCATGTCTCGGGAGTGCGTTCATTCGGATGAAGTGGGCATTGCTTCTCCCTCACTGCCTGATTTCCCGATAGACTACGTGTAATAAGTGACACACTGCTTCTCTTTTGTTGGTGTTTTGTGTGTGTGAGAGTGTGTGTGTATATGTGTGTGTGTGCGCACGCCTGTGTGTGTCCGTGTGTGTACACCCTGAGCACATGTGTGTTCGTGTGATATGGTTTAAAACTAATGGAAAAAACTGAAAGTGCCTGATAGCTAGTTTTACGCTTAGACAGATTCTCTTTAAAAAGACTTGAATGTTCAGTTTAACTTTTGGAGTTTGCTTTTTCCACCTAAATATTGTTTCTAAAATTTTAGGGGAGGAGTTAAATACCACCAATGCTAGTAATTTTATAAGGTATTTTAAAATTAAGATCTTTTGGTTCATAGTAATTCAACTGGTGATGGATTGCCCAGTGGCACCAAGGGTTACAGATCTGTTTTTTCAGCCAGCAACTTCCATGATATGTCTGTTTTGTTACTCATTCATGAAATAGAGTTTAAAATAGAATATTTAAAATATTTTGTATTCCAAAAATATCATACAAAGAAGCACCTCTGAGAACAGTGGAAAAAAATGTAAAATTTGAAAAATGTCATCTATACAGGCAGCTAGCTGTCTTCCTGCAAGAGTTCTGTTGCCAAGGAATTTCTTCATGTCACTCATTCGGGGGGGAGGGGCTTTGAAACATGATTGTTAAAAGTTTCATTGTGTCGAGGACAATAATCATTTTTACATTTTGTGCAAAAGATTTTCAGATCATTTTAAATGAGCACTACATACTGTCGGTGTGAATGTAGGGCCTTGAAAGCATTTTGCTGGTTTTTTTTTTTTTTTTTGAGCTTGGTTATAAAAGCAATCTCCTGTGTTAAAATGTGTGAATAGTTTGATAATTTGTATACATAATCAAGAGCATCTCAGCTGGACTCTGTGTTGGCTGCTGTATAGAACATGAACAAATGTCAAGGGATAGAAAATTACTTTGGATATTTAAAAAAGAAGAAATATATAGTCTATTTGTTTTGTAACAAGTTCTGTAAATAAAATAATTTATACTATTTATAAGAAAAAGTTGTGCTTTGCTTCATAAAAAATTAGTTTGTGGAACCAACATGTTATGAAACAGGCAATAAAATCAGGACTTGTCAATAAATGAGGTTGGCTGCATGAAATACTTCCCACGTTTCTGCCTCGTTGTGATCCCAAACCCCATGTAATTTAGTCTGACTCGTCTTCTTTTTTGGCATCCAGCACCCTTTTAAAGCACCTTCATTTTAGTTTCCCTCCTACGTAAGCCAAATACTTCTGAAGGCTTAGGATGGTTCCATTCTGGGTCAGAAAGCTGTGCCTTGGGTAAATGAGTAACTGCCGAGTCAACAGCGGGCACTGCTGCATCCTGGCCCTGCAGGTTTGCGAAGCAGCAGGGGGTGCTGGTGAATGGAGAAAGGCGTTCTTTTACACTGGCTTATGTGTAAATTGGATAACTTGTAGTCAGTTGGAGATAGGTTTTTTCATCCAGAGCTGGCCCATCATCTCTCATTGCTTTTACATACTTCCATTATTGACAATACAAGTGGATTTTCGTTCAGGGTACAACGTAATCTTTTATCTCTGGAAATCCAAATAAATTGTTATAGTAAGTCACAAATTTTTTTGTTGTTGCTTAAGATAGTGGGAGTGCTTGCTTTCTATGTTGGAGAAAATGTCCATACCTTCCATGAAGGAGTTGGGCCCAAGGCTTCCCTCATCCTCACTGGACTTGCATTTCGTCCATATATCAACTAACCACTCAAATCCACTCATAAGCACCTTGTCAGTACCTTCTTTGAACTTGGATGTCCTTCTCAAACATCCCAGGTAAAGAAAGGTTCAACCCCTTAATGTCTTATTTATTTTCATTCCCTCACAGGTAACCTGGCCCTGGATAGCAAGAGCTAGCCCAGTTCAAGGCAGCGGGAGTTGGCAGTCTTGAATCTTGGCATATGGGAATTCACCAGGCAGAAAGGCAGCAGGGTAAGGTCCCTCTAGGCAGAGGGAGGAAGCTGGGCGAGCGAGGTGTCAAAGGAGGAGGAACGCAGAATCATTCTGCAGGGAGCTTGCTGGAGGGAGGTTCTCACAGGACTGGAGACGTTGGAGCCAGATTGCCAAGGACTTCGGATGTCGTGGGGCCTTCGTCGTCAGGAATGTGTGGGACCAGGTTCAGTTTAACCCAGATGTAACAATCAGAGCCCAGAGGTATCCCATGGTCCAGTGCCAGCCTGGTGCAGCTGCCCAAAAAGTCATGCAAATCTTGACTGGAGTCTGTGGAAAAACTAAGGACCACTTACATCTCTTACCGTTTCCTGCGTTTTCACTCTCTTTTCCCTGCAGCATCTGTCTTTACTCCTTTCTCTCAAGTCCTAATCAGAAAGCTTCCCCCTAAGTCAAGCCTGAGGTCCTCCCCTTTTCACCTCTTTCAGTACCTTCTTTCTAGCAAGAAACTGCTTCTCTTGGTAATGGAAACCAATTAAGCTCGTCCCTCACCTTGTAAGGATGTAGTTCTCTGGGCCTGGTGTCCTCATACTCCATGACCAAAGCTGGCACTATCCGAGTATCTCTCAGGGTGGGAGTTATCGGCCAGAGAGAAGGTTTTCCAGAGAAAGGGGAAAATCAAACACTTCTAATACGTTTTTCTGACAGAATGGACAGGGGAGAACCTTGGAACAAAAGTGAGTTACAAAGCTGTTGTGATAACCAGGTAAGAGGTATTAAGTTGCCAAGTAAAGCAGTGACCAGCCCCTACAGGCACATTATGTGGCACATTGAAGGGAGGAGTGAGTCTGAGATGACTTAGAGATCTCTAGCTTTGCCAACTGCTGCGTGAGCTTTCAATGAAATACGAGATACGGGAAGAAAATGACACCAGGGTGCATGTGAGCTGAGCATCCAGGTGGATGTAGAGTCTGGATGGAACCCAGGAGGGAGGTTTGAGCTGAAAAAATAAGAGGAAAGGATGCCTTTCATTTTAGATAGGAAATGAGGCCTTGGGAGTGGATATGTTCACCTGGAAAAAAATAGGCAACTGGTAGATTTTAGTCATTTGACTGATTATGTTAAAAATACCTATCTAGTTAAGTGCCTAATATATCGGATATTGTACCAAGCATTTTACATACATTCTCACAAAGCCCCTGTGGGATAGGTATTGTGATCCCTGCCTTACTGGTGAGGAGCTTCTAAGAAGTGTCTTGCCCGAGGCCCTAGACCTGGTACCAGAGCCAGGCTGTAAGTTCAGGTCTATCAGCTAAGTGGTTCTGAACCTTTTTTTCTGTCACAGACTCCTTCAAGAATCACAGGAGAGAAGCTGTGGATCCTCTCTGAGGTACAGACACAGATTTTATGTTCCAGGATTTCACTCATCCTGAAGCCCACCCTCCATAGCCCAAAGAGAGAGTGTTCGCCAGAGAGCAAACCTTGGAAAAGAGTATTTTGGTGAAGACCGATGGAGAACTGGCAGTAAAGAGAGGTGAGGGCGGAGGCGTGAAGGATGAGCTTGAGGTGGTGAGATTTAGTCAGCACCACTCAGCCCACTTAGGTGATGTTTGGTTTTGTTTGCTCCTGTTTTTTTCCTCCAGAATCAACTGGAACATTGGCCGTTGGTTGGTGGGAGAGTTAGAAGAACTTGGGTGGGGAGATTGCCAAGGAATTAGAGAGTGCTAGTGAAGGTGTGGTTACGTGATTAATGGCGGTCTAGACTGGGAAGTGCAGGAAGAGAACTGGAGGCTACCGCGCAGACTGTGCAGGCACTCTGAAAGCACTGTTTGGAATTACCCTGTGGTTAAGTCTTACGATTCCCCCTTCCAGGTAACTTATCTGTGATTAGACAAATGACTGGTCACGTCCCAGAGCAAAGTCGTGGTAACTCGGTATGGCCAGTGATGAAGAGGGCAGGCACGGCAGGCGGGGCCCAGGGCTGTCAAGGTGGCGCAGCATTTACAAGCTGGTCAGGGAGTGGGAGAATAGGACAGTAGGGTCAGAGTGCAATTCCTGGTTCATTTCCCAAAGTGGAGCTGTTCGGCGGTGCTTGTTTATCATTTCTGGGTCCAGGGTGAGACGGGAGTGGATGGAAGTGGGGAGGAGGTAAAGAGCACAGGGGTCACGGTTAAGGAACTGCGATGCTAGGCTATTCTATAGCCTGTTCACTTGAAGGTAGTTAGAGCTGTGAAGGCTGAGCCAGCTGGTGGGTCCTGAATGCCTGGATGGGGTGCGGGGGATAACTTGAGGACTGTGGTTGAGAGCGATGAGAATGGTGAATTGGTATTACTGGGTGGTAAACAGCTTCAGAGAGAAGGCATTTTGATGGGGGGGTGGACATATGATGACTGGGAAAGAATAAGAAACTTCTTCTTGGCCCTACGTTCCTGAGGTAGATATGAATGGACGGCCTCTAACCTAGAGGATTTCAAGAAAAGCAGAGTCCTCAAAACCCAAGTGTGGAGTTGATGAGCATTGATACTCCATGAGTTGCAGAGGTACTTAGAAAACCTGGCCTCTAGGAACCTCTGAAAGGGAGGGTTGACAATTGTCAGGGCGACACCTACTGGAAGTCTGCAGCAAGTGGTCACTTCCCCAAGGGTATCTCAAGTTGGAAAAGTGCCATATGGGCTGGATTGAAGGCTGATCATTCACTTTCTGTACAGGAAAAATTACACCATTGCGAGAGATTTCTGAGTGACGAGAAAAGAGGGTAGGTAGGCCTTCCCCTTGACACCATGTAATTCAGGGTTTGCAGGGGCTGGACTAGACTGCTACAGATTCTTGATACTCTTTGTAGGTCTTCAGAAACACGGGAGTGACACAGACCTGTGATACCAAGACCAGTGATGGGTAGAGCTGCTGTTGTCCATGGAGGATTCCGTCTCGCTCCCCACTGCCACCGACAACAGAAGTCTGTGTGCAGTTAGAAAGACCAGGAGTTATCGTAGCCCTTTCCTGCTTTCCGTAATCGTGGGGCAGACAGTATTTCAAGTGTCAGTTGTTCGTCCTCTTAAAAACAATATCAAGAACATGAAGTTACACAGTTGATTTGCTAGTGATCAGTGACCATCTACTGAGCAATTAAAACGAATGCCTGGTCAGGTGGTTGCTGTCAAGTCAGCTCCAACTCTTGGCGACCTTGTTTATAACAGAACAAAACACTGCCTGGCCCTGCACCACCTTCATGATCATCGGTATGGGGACAGTGGTGGTGTCAGCTTCCAGCACTTTATCAGAGTGTTCTGTTGTGATCCATAGGGTTTTCATGGGCTGATTTTTGGAAATAGATCTCCAGCCCTTTCTTCCTAGTCTTAGTCTGGAAGCTCCACTGAAATCTCTTTACCATGGGTGACCCTGCTGGTATTTGAAACACTGATGGCGTAGCTTCCGCCATCACAGCAACACAGAAGCCACCAAGCTATGACAAACTGACAGTGGTGGTTGGCCAGGTCACTAAGGACTAAACGTGTTCAGCTGTAAAATCCTAAGGGGAGTGCAGTGTACCTGCTCAGTCATCAGATGAGGTAGGCTTCCTTTTAGCCATTTGGATCAAGTAAAAGTTGGGTGTAAACACTAAACAGAAATGGATTTTAGATAGTATTTCTATTCCTAAAAGCTACTACTAGTTAGTAAGTTATCTTGAGCTATTCTTTGTAACATAGGAAATACTTAACATAATTTGATATAGTTTTAAAACATTTATTTCTCTGATTAGGTGGATAAAATCGATATATAATCAAATTTTATTGAGGTAAGAGAAATTTGGCCCTGTTGCTTTAAAGAATCACCAAAGGGGCATTGGCCTCAGTGGTACCGCTCATACATGGATCATGTATTATGAGTGAGACGAGCTGATCTAAGTGACGAGATGAAGCTTTCAGCTTGCAAAGGAGACATTCACCAACATGAAATAGGAACTACAGAGTTGGTTTAGTTCTGCGTCACTTATCAAACAGAACTACCATAATTCACACTGTGGTGATCTCATTTTCATATTGTGAAGTGCCCTTCATGATTAAAACTAGAAAACTCAAGATTTAAAGAAAACAGGCTATATATAAATGGGTGCCACCAGAGTTAAGAAGAAAGGTTGCGAGTTCTCTCATAGCTGTCCCAGCTAGTTAATGCAGGAGCCGTGTACAGTACTGGGGGGACTGCAGCGACAGTGAACTCGTGTGCCGCAGGGCCAGGCAGGCATGTGAGTGAAGGGGACAGGCAGGGGCCTGGGCTCACCAGAGAACACACTCCACTTAGCCTGACTGGGCCTGGGCTCACC